TAAACACTCCCACTTATCTCCTAATATAGAAACTTTATTTAACTTTTTCTTTACCGAATTCACTGCGATTATAAAACCCCTCCTGTCACTCCTTACGTCATTATTAAATAGAGGTCAATTGTAATTCCATATATCATTGTAAGTACATCAAATTGTGTACCATTTCATTTCATATTCTTATCTAATTACCTAATTATCGATTTCATGCGACAATATTATTCCTAAGTTATTATTATAATTGTAATTAACTGAAATTTTTATAATTGTATTTTATGTTTACCTGTTAGCCGAATAGCTAACAACCACATCTCTAAATATTAAAATAAGAAACTTTCTATTGTAATGCTTATCTATATTATAATTAACTATCTTCGATATTTTTATTTTTATCTTAATAATTGTGTTTATTTTTCTTATCTTGTTATGTTTTTATATACTAATTGTGAAATTTAACATTATTTTAATTGTTGAACTATAATAGTTTATACTAAATTTCTAGTAAAAAAAAAAAAAAAATGTGGCTTAGCACATTTTAGACAGTATCGCGCAAAACACTTTTTTTTGTCAAGACGCCGTAGGCATATATTACACAAATTGAGGTAATTTACCTTTTTTATTGGCGATAGTGCAATAAGCCTTGGGCATTTGTAGATAGTGTGCGATAGTTGGCATACATAACATTTTAATTCTAAGGTGTTTACAAATGAAGCCGACGATGTGGTGTTTTTTGTGTATTGACCTTTTCGACTTATATAATTATTTTCCATATTGTTTTTAGAAATATTGGACATTTTTTTTGACGACTCGACTGCTTCTAACACGTGAAAACGTGCTTCTAAAAATTCGATTAATTCGTCGACTTCTTTAATTTCATCCCTTGCACATTTCATTTCCCAATCACTAATAGTAACCGCATCCAATTTGGTACATATAATGTGTGTTAATAACGGTCCCCACTCTGATGGACATTGTTGCAATGCTCTTAAGGCAGATATACGACCGCGTAGACTATCCGAAAATTGTCGTTAACTAGTGGATGAACTGGCTTTCACTGTAGGTAAATCACAAATACTTTTTACATGCGTTTGTACTAATAATTTTTTATTATTGTACCTCGTAACCAAATTGTTCCATGCGTGCTCATAGTTATTAACGGTGGTTTCTAGGTTCTTGACGCAACTCGCTGCGTCGTCAGATAACGAAGAATGTAAATAGAAGAAATTTTGTATCGTTGTTAAACTACTATTATTATGAATCAATGCGGTGTACAAATCATAAAACGGAGCCCATTTGGCATATGCTCCCGAGAACACTGGTACGTTTAATACTGCTAACTTCATTAGCAGTACGGCATTGCTTGTTTCACTCACGCTGATTTTTTCTTTTTCTGCCTGTTCATCGGTCGACGAACTTTCTTTCACCTCTAACTGTTGAAGTCTCTCTTCCGCTTTCGCCATAGCTTTAAAATATAATTCTTTGAATTCTAATTAATATCTTTCATGTTCGTTTGCATCTTCGTCAACTCGAATCTCCGATTGTACTCGTTATAAACTAATCTAATAAGTACGCGATAATCGACAATTGATAACTTACAATGTGACAAAGGTTAAGAAAAATAAGGTATAACATAATAGGACGTAATGTTTGAATTCTATTTACCGATTCGCAATGGGATTATGACGGTCGAAGTTTACTGATAAACGTTTAATGATACGCTTTCGAACGTCTTAAGCGCGATTCACACTAATACGACACGATACGACAGACAAAAATCATGTTCAATTTACACACGACCGACAAAATACGACAGACACGCACTCAGTTGATTCTAATTTTCATGTCGAACGGTCGGAAATTGTTCTCAACATGTTTCGAAATTTAAACTTTGAAGATTTGGCAATATGGCGTTATTGCTCGACGCCGACGAAGAGGAAATTGACCATGCGGTAGTCAAAAAAACGATCTATATGGGTTCACGACATTTTAAAAAAAAGAAAAGTGGAAGGAGAACATGCAACTTTGTGTAAAGAGTTGGAAGATTATGAAGACAAATTTTTTAAATATTTTCGAATGTCAAAGTACCAATTTAATGTTCTACTTTTAAAAATTGAGAGTAATATTTCTAAACAAAATACACACTTTCGAGAAACAATACCTCCAAAACAAAAGTTAGCTGTTTGCTTGTGGTAAGGGAATTTAATATTTTTATCACAAAAATAAACAATCTAAAATACATACATATTTATAAATTTATTAATTAACATATTATATTACATATTTTTTTAGGTTCTTAGGAACAGGTGACTCTTACCAATCGATTGCTTTCAGTTTTAGATCGGGGCACAAAACAGTGCAGTCCATTGTATTGGAAGTATGCAGTGCAATAATCTCTAAATTAAAGGAGGAGTGTCTTTTAATTCCTAGTGAAGAAGATTGGAAGCGAATCGCGAAAGAATTTTGGGATATTTGGAATTTCACCAATTGCATAGGCGCATTGGACGGAAAACATGTGGTTATCGAGGCACCTTCTAATAGTGGATCACTCTACTTTAACTACAAAAAAACCTTCTCGATAGTATTACTTGCTCTTGTGGACGCTCAATATTAATTTTTAACGGTCGATATAGGAGCATATGGAAAAAATAGTGATGGAGGAATTCTCTCGAACTCAAATTTAGGAAAAGCTTTAGAAAGAAATAAATTAAATATTCCGAATGACCAATACCTTCCAGATGCTAATGAAAAATTGCCCCTAGTTATAATAGGAAACGAGGCTTTTCCGCTCAAAAAATATTTATTAAGACCTTACCCAGGACTGCAAATGTATGAAGACCAGAAGAAAAAAAACTTTAATGACCGTCTTTCAAGAGCCCGTAAAGTTATTGAGGACGCTTTTGGTCAACTTACAGCTAAGTTTCGAATTTATTGTAGAAGACTGAATGCATTACCACGAAATGCTGATACC